AGATATTTGTTACTTTTAGTATATAGAACACAATAAAAGTTATTGATTTAGTACTTTAAGGTGCTTTATGTGTAATAATAAACAATTAATTTCTCATTTTAATGCTTACAACTCTAGGCTAAATTGGCAGCGCTAATATAAAGTTTCTCTTCTGATCATAACACATGTCTTGAGAAATAAAAACTGTTGTGCTACATCAAATAGAACCATTATGATATGCTTCAGAACGCCAATTCTCATAAACTTCAAGTGCAACTATTAACTGTTATGATCTGTGCTATATAAGCTATTATACATAACATGCTTCAAAGGAATCAATTTGTGTTAATTTTTTGTAAACTATTAACCATTATGTGCTGCATTATATGGGCTGTTATGGCATGTTTCAAGAGTTAATTTTTTGCAACTATTAACCAATATGTACTGTGCTATATGGTGCCATTATAGAATGTTTCAAGGGCTAATTTGTATTAATTTTTTTGTAACTGTTAACCATTATATGCTGTGCCATATGGGCTGTTATGTGACAGTAATTTGTGATATTTTTTGTAAACTATTAAACATTATATGCTACACCATATGGAGCCATTATGTGACAGTAATTTGTGATATTTTTTGTAAACTGTTAACCATTATGTGCTGCACTATATAGGGCCATTATGTGACAGTAATTTGTGATATTTTTTTTATAAACTATTAACCATTATGTGCTGCACTATATGAGGCTGTTATGTTATGTTTCAAGAGGTTAATTTGTGTTTAACCTGTTAACTGTTATGTGCTGTGCCATATGGGGCCATTATGTTATGTTTCAAGGGGCTAATTTGTGTTAATTTTTTTTTGTAAACTGTTAAAATGTTATGCGTGTATAGATAAAGATTCTTAATAAAGTACTACAGAGGTGGGGGTATAATCAGCTAATAAATATTGGTTCCCTTTTAGAAACATCCAAACTCTTCTACAAGAAATTTTAAAAAGATTTAATAACATACACATTGATAGACTACTTCTTAACAACTCTTTTTTAACAGAGTGTAATGAAATACTTAAAGCAATTCACTATTATTTCTCAGAATATTTCAAAAAAAACTACTCGAATCAATTTCACTTACTTCAGAATTTTATCAACTCTACTAACCACATTCTGAATATGAAAAACTCTATAATAACCTCTTTCAAAATATTACAGATTAAGAATAGTTAGATATCATAACACTGGTTAAAAATTTTTAATATAATAGGCTAATATTAAGGCAAAATGTATAATTTCAAAAATCATAAAATCAGATATAAGATATTCAATAAAATAGTATAATTATCAAAATATCAGCATACAGATAGACAGAAATTTAAATGCATTTTAAATTAAAGTCCTAATAAAAAGCAGATATTATGATAAATATAAAAATCTTCATAAAACTAATGAATGATATTATAAGATAGATTAACTATTAATTAAATAACTTGATGATATTTATAAGACTATATTAATAATCTAGATGTTAAAATAATATGTGATGATTAGAAAGATTGTTGTATGATTTTATTAATTAAAGATGATTATTTACTAATTTAATTAATTATTTTTGTAAAAACTTAATCTTGGCCAATATTTTGATATATACCTATATTTTCTTATTTTGCTACCTAATAGTTTCTGTTTATTTAGATTTCTTGATAATATCTATATGACTATATAAATTATCATTAAAGATTTAGATATTAAAATGATATGTGATGATTAGAATAATTGTTATTTGATTTTAATTAAACGATGATGATTTACTGATTTAATTAATTATTTTTGTAAAAACTTAATCTTGGCAGATATTTTAATATGTGCTTTAATTTTTAGTTTATTTCATAAACCACTATTTACTGTATATTTATATTTCATGATGATATTTATATGACTACATAAATTTACACTATATAAATTAATATTAATCTAAATATTGTTAATAAAATTTATAAAATATTTATTTATATTATATTTATTTATTAATTAATATCAATACATCATCAGTCTAATAATATATAAATTATTAAAATATCTGTTTATTTATATATTACAGTCTTAGATATTACCAAATTTGAATGATATAGATCATACCCTTTTTTGTACAATTAGAACGTTCTTGATACTTCCATTTCAGTCTATTGCTATTCTATACTAATCTATAGAGGGCTAAAATTACGCCAATCATCGTTTACTTACTGATTTGGTAAACAACCACCTTAAAGCCTCTGGGATCACAAGGGATCTCTAGACTATGTATCTATAAGACCATTTATATCAGAATTAATTCAAACATTTATTATTAACTATCTCATGATTCTGCTACCAGCTGTTTTAATATATAAATCGATTCTAGAGTATTCTTTATTATGTTGTAAATCGATTTCTATATTTGGTAAAATCTGAGACTGTATTAAATTATTTATTTGTTAGGATTACTACTAATACTTTTTTTAGATTATTACCTCTTTTAAATTTATACGAAGAAGGTATGAATCATTCTAATATCCTTTATATAGATATTATACAATCTTTTAATTCTTTATAAAAGTTTTTTTGCCAAATTTCTATATCATATTGACTATTTTCCTTTAATGATAAGTAAAAATGGTGCATATTATCTGGTCGATACTATTGAATATATACTAAATAGTATATATTATTATCAAATTTATATTGAAAAAAGAATTATATTTTTTCTATATATATATTTACAGAATTGTTTCTATAAGCTATGAACTTCACTCTGATATATGAACGATTTTATATTTAGAGACAATCTTTGATTCATATATTTCTGCACCAATTTTTAATCTTCCAAACTGAATATCAGCTCATTCTATTAATATTAGCTCAGTTATATAAAGATCACCATAAAGCTCTTCAGATAGTGAGAATAATAATTTATTAAATTTTGATAAAATTCATCAGGAGTATATACATTCTCATTTATATTTCCGATCATCTTATTTGAATATTTTTCTGTAACAGTGATTACATTAACATTATTAATTTTATCCACTATCTTCAGATAATCTACCAAATCCTTATACTCAAAGTTTTCAGTTATTTTTAAACTTCCACATACTTTTTTTCTAAAAGAAAAAGAGCTTAATCTAATAATAATTTAGCTTCACCTATATTAACAAAATTTATTCTAAATTCTACTTGTGTATTTTTCATTAGAATGTGCATAAGTTCAGATTCAATAGACCGATTACTTGTAGAGTAGGTTCCTAATAGGCCATTTATCTGCTCAAAAAAATAGCACCAATAAACATATAGTAAACTATAATTCAGACAACATTGTCTTATATGAAGAGACAAGTGAATAATTGATAATATTATATGTTGATCATAATGTTTCTTAATTAACTTTGCTATTTTTATTAGCCTAGTATGTGCTTGTCTAGATCACTTTGCTTGACTATTCAGTTTATTAATAAATTACATACAGCACTCAAAGTAAGTTTTTAAATATAAATCTATTTATACATATGAATATATATTTTGTGCATCTCTAAATGCAGTCAAAAAACTTATCATCAAACTTTCAATTATATACTAATCAAAATTTTCAAATATAAGTCTCAAGATTTTAAAAAAACATAATTGAAAGCCTGATAATAGGTTTTCTCTTGGTTATGCTCATATAGTATGAAAATAATAATTATTATTGCTCGATCAGATGTTTTTATTTAGATGAGAAATAACATATAGAAATTTGTCTACTATTATTTACAGGTTTTACAGGCTCTATATCAAATATCTTTAAACTTAATGACTATATTTCTAAAGGAATATTTCATCTTAACAACCTTATAATCTATTGTATATCTATAGAAATGTAGCTAAAAAGAATTATAGAGTTATAATAAGAATCAGTGATACAGTATAGATATTAATAACATGAATGTTACTAAGACAGATTTTTGTCTACCTATTGCAGCAGTAAAGTCTAGTTACTAAATTGTAAAGTTCATATTTGCATCCTGCAACTGTGAAATCTAAACACCAAATACAAGATTCTTGTACTGTCTATAGCAGCTGCAGAGCTAAATTAAATATGAGATATTTTTATTATATATAGCAGCCATAATTAGAATTTTGCAAATAAATTAGAAGAAGGCTGCATCCTAATCTTAATAATTTTTCTAAAGATATCCTTATGAATATTCTTGAAAATAATTGGTAGAATGATTTATAGCAGCTTGAAGCAATTTTTTTCTTATTGTTCAATCTTAAATAAACTGCAATATGATCAGGCTAGGCTTTATGACATTTTATATAGTTTCAGATAGATTGTGCAAGTAATTAAAAATCTTACTGATTTTGACCTTCATACTAATCTTTTAATGCATTTAGAATGTCAATAGGATAAATAGGAACAACCATTACTACTTTTAAGCTTTTACTTTATTTCAGCCATTACTACTTTTAAGTTTTTTACTTTATTCCAAATATTGGGAAATTATATTTAATAAGCAACTATATAACTTACTTTTTCTCATCTTGGTGAATGTCTATTAGATTATTATAAAATTTGGTTTAAAAGTGATGCTAAAATTCTTCTAAATAAATTGCTACAATATCGAAAAAAACAATATCTATTTCGTAACGAAGATTATAAATATTTTGGAAAAAATAAAGATATTATCTCTTTTTAGAAATTTTGTTAGTGGATATACTGAAGAATTACATCTTATTACACAACATATTTATTTAATATATATTAGTCAGCATCTATAAAATGGCTATTTTTTACTATGGGTAGTTATACAATAATCGAAGAAATAAAAGATATATTAATATATAAATATAGTTATTAAATATTAATAATTCAATTATTAAAAATATATTAATTTGATTATTAATTTAATTTGTCTAATATAAAAAGTAGTGGCTATATGCCAAGTATATAGCGAAATAATTTATTTACATCAATTAAATGAAATTTAAGAGTCTAAAAAAATTTACTCAAATGCATACTGCAATGTATGTGACACAATCTAATAAAGTTTTGGATAATAATCGTGAATCCTTTAAAATACCAGATAAAAATATAGAATAAGACAATGTATATATAGAATTAGATAATAATATAGAATCAGACAATAATATAGAATTAGATAGAAATATTGATGAATTTAGAAAATTCAAAATGCCAGAAGATGTTAGTTCAATTAATAAATGGTGAAAAGTTATAAATAAATGTAAATCTCTTATAGATGAAGATGAAAACTCTATAACAAAAGAAGATTCTACAACAAAAGAACCTACAACAGAGGAAGAATCTACAACAGATGAAGAATGTATTATAGAATCAACTGTTAAATTAATGGAATCAGTATCTAAAAATATTTATTCTGCTGTTTTATTTAATAATAAATGAAAATTAGAAACTCTTTTTGATAACAACCATTTAAGGCCTCTAACATATATAAATTTACTTATAAAATAAGGCTTAGATGATATTACTAATCAAATTAAAGCTAGAATAGTAATGAAAACTTTAAACATTAGCAACCATAGTTGCAATAAATTACTTATTAAAATAAGCTGATTATTGACTTAAAAAAAAAATGGGGGAGAAAAAAAGATGATAGGATTTTTTTACTTAAAACTTAAAGATTAGCAAACGATTTAAAACATTTTATTTGGGTAAAGTTTTTCTTAGTATAACTTATATAAATTATAATATAAGTACATATAACTTTATGATTGACATGACTAATTGCAAAAAGCTTTTAGCCAAGATAAAATAACTTATTCATATAATATATATGTAAAATTTTGTAGATGTTAAACTGTGTAGTTTTTGCAAACAAAATTGTTTGCAAGAGTATATTGTTGAAGAAATGTGTTATATATTAAGTAAATCAGATAAAATAAACTGTATAAAGCAAATTTATTTGATATATAATTTATAAAATGTAATTAGATTATTATATTAGTCATATTAAAGTTATTTTATTATTTCTTTAAGAAAACTGCAATGAGCTTTTCTTTATAGTACTATTAATAACAAATATTTTGCAAACATCTTATTTCACAGACAATTCAGTAAATTTTATTTCACAAATGATTAATTTACTATCAGGTTCAATTTATAGGCTGATTATTTTACTAATTGCTTATTTTCATAGTACTATTAATGACAAATATTTTATAAACACCTTATTTTAAGCATAAGTTTATTTGCAGATGATTAATTTGCTATCAGTTAACCGATAGCTTATTTTATAAACAGTTTGTTTATTAATAGCTTATTGCACCCATAAGTTTTTTTATAACTTGCGCTAATTTTAAATATAATTCTAGTACTAAATCTAACAATAATAACAATAATTACTTTGTCAGTAAAATAAACTGTCTATGAAATGAGCTATTAGTGAAATAAACAGTCTATAAAATAAAATTGAATTTTTTATATATTAGTAAATTAACCAATAAAATTATTAGGCAATTGAATATATATCCAATTAATTTAATTTGATATATACACAATTAATTTTATAATTTATTAGGCATTGTCAAAATCTAATAATTCAAAAAATTATTTAAATAAATTAGACAAATTGGACATAGTCCAAATGTTTAAATGTCCAAAAATCTAATTAAATTTATTTAGACATTGTCCAATAACAACTCTGTTTATAGTATTTGAATATTATTATATTTTTTATAGAAAAATAATATACTTAAAAAATTTCTGTTAAATACATAAGATAATTCTATAATACTATTTTTAAATAACAACAAAGTATAAGTAATATTTATCATAAAATTTTATAATTTTATAAATTAATTTATTTTGTAACTTTATATATTATGTTGTAAAAAGTATTTATTTAAATAATTTATTAATGGAAATGTGACGACTTAGTGAAGTGATCAAGTTGTTGCCTTCAAGTGGCACATTTAGAGTTCAATTTCCACCAATAATGAAAAAATCAAATTCTTCTATGTAATGATAACTATTCAGAAGTTGGGATGTAAATCCTATAACAATGATTAGACCAAATAGGTGCAAGGAGTAATAATTGCCTAATAGATGGTTTATCTCACAAGCCCTATCAGGAGTAATAGTACAGACTTAAAATCATGGAGCAATTGTGTAATAGAAAAGTTATACAAAGGAATACAAACTAATAAAAGGCATATAAACCCACGATAAGTCTTTGTGATCTGTGTAAATCTGTTGGACTAGCCCAGAATAGAATGCTGCTTGGCAAGTTCCAAATAGAGAAGTAGCATATGCTTTTGCCAGTTTTGGAAAGTCTAAAAAATAGAACCAAAAAGCTGCAGATCTGGATAAGGATTGGGTGTTTGGCAAGCACTATACCAACCAGGCCTCTGAAATTGACGAGAGAAAAAGGGCATAGGCTAGTATCCAGGTTAAGCCAGTAGGAAAGTAGTTAACATAACTTGTGGACCAAACTAGGCTATCTGGATTAGAAGTTTGAGGAAACAGTAGAAGGCTTTCTGATTAAATGAGTACTGGAGCTAGGATATGAGTGAACTTTATAAGGCCAGAAGTAGGTATTGGTAGTGGAAATAAAAAGCTGCAAGTACTTGTTCTTAAACTAGGCATAAGCTACTAACAAAAGCCTAGATTAGCCTAAATTTGGATATAAAAGGCTCTAGCAGATTTAACTCAAGGTTAAAAAACACTCTAAAATAGTTAAGACTGCTTTAAAGCTCTAAGCCAGTATGTGAAAATAAGATGGTACTAAGTATCATTGCTTGAATATAAAAGGTTTAGTATATAGGTGCAGAGGGTTTAAATAGGTAACTCATATTGGGATGCAGGTACAGCATCTAGTTTAGAACCTAATAATAGCAGACTACTTAAATAGGTAATCAAAAGGCGCAGATATAGCTAGTTGTATTCTACAAATATATATAGCCGTCAGATATATTTGATGATTAAAAATATTACTAATATTTGAATAAAGAGCAGTATGCCAAAGAGACCACCTTATATTAAAAAAAAAATTATTAATGAATAAAATCTAATTAAAACAAAAACTAATTAAATAGTGTGATGATTTAGTGAAATAGTTAAGTTGTTGCACCCAAATACATCTATATGCTCATTGTTTAAAATGAAAATAATTATCATTGTTTATATTATTTTAATACATATTTATGTTTTTTTAAAAAAATGCTGTTAATTAATATTAGAGTTAGTGTTAAGATAAAGTAAAGCTTTAGAAAAAAGATATACTAAAATTTTATGAAGAATTTTTTTTGTTAAAATAAAGAAATTAGTTTCATAAACAAAATTTCCAGATAAAAATGATTTTTTAAAAAAATGATTAATGTTTTTAATTTTAACATTATACACAGATCATTTATATAAATTCAACATAATG